TTAAGTTTAATTTTGTACAAATTAGCCCGTATAACTTGTAGTAGTTCTCAAAAATAAAAACACGATAGAGTTCCGGACTCCTGTTCGGAACCAAATTTAAAACAACAAATAGATTTATAGAATCGACCACTTTATAACAGAAGAACAACTCTCACTCAAATAACATTTTATTGAACGTATAATTCTTCTGGAGAAACATAAATCAAATAACAAAGAAAGGCTAGATACTCTTACACGTGTTCTTGTTTCCATTGTTAGACTGTTGTTGGTGGGTAATATGGCATTTTCTGACTTTTACTGTATTCACGGAAAATATTGACTAAAGTTATTCCTCCTCTTACTTAACCCACTAGTTTGTATAAATGTTTACCGGAAGCTTTATTGACCTCGGGTAATCTTACAATTCAATTACAAATTACAAGTTGTTAGCAAGCGCAAAAGAAAGACGTGCACTTTTTACTTAATACAATTACACCGTCTTAGTTTATCGGAAGCCAAGTTATTATTATAACCCGTACAACTTCTTACTCATAATGTGAGTAAACTACCGCACACCAATCAACACATGCATTTGTATACAAACGTCACATATTATATGACAGTCGTATACACTTCAGCGTGAATTGGTTGAAATAAATTAATCTACTTCGCCGGTAAATAAAAACACCAATGTTACTTCTTTGGGTGGTATAATTAATATTTTAAGAGTTTTTTCACGAAATAAATCGTCGTTGTATGTAAATGAAAGTTTGGTAAAGTTTTAATACGTTTTTCAAATAAATTGCAAGTAAATACATAATTTTTACACAGAGTTGAAAATAAACTACTTTAATACGGTCGATTAAAAAACAGAACGCGAAAAAAGTTTAAAAAACCTTAATGACTTTGGTGGACAAAAACATTTTTAGTAGTTCTCGTTTGTTACATAAACAATACATTATAATAATTTTATTCATTTATTTTGATTTATAAAAAAACACGAATGCTTTATTTTATTTTCATTTAAGTAAAAAATTTCATCTTGTAATACAGTTCTAAAAACAATATATTATAATTAAGCTATAACATTTCAGCGATAATAAAGACTTGAAAATTAAATTTTTACTAACAGAAATATAGGTCAATTGCATTTTCAATTCAAAATCTCAACATTTTTTAAAATAACGTATCAAATATTTTGCGTTTAAAATAAATAACAAATATTTAAGTAAATAAAAAAAAATCCTTTTATTTACTGTTAACTAAAAATTTGGCCTCGGCAAAGATTTTTTTAGGGTATTTTTAATATAACTAAATGCCTTATCTTTAGTGTTTTAAATAAATATGGATTTGGAGGGTAGTAATTATTCTTATGATATAAATACTAGAATTTTGAGCCACACGAAAAAATGTTATTTCGGGAATGGAGGTCAGAGTATGTTTAAAATGTTGAGGGTTTTCTACGGTTTGACGTTAATAACTGCTATAAAATGACGTAAGTAGAAGAATGTGAGGAATTCTGCTACACTAATGTAGACTTAAGGGCCCTAAGTTCTTTAAATCTATAGGGTCATTCTGTCTTTTCAAGATACTGATTTTTTTTTCAATCGAATTGGAAGGAGCGCATTAATGTTTTTCTCGTTAGTCGTGAATTTATATGCTTATGCCACAACTGCCACAAGAAATAATTTCGTCCAATTATAACATATTATTCATTAAAATCCGACTAATTAGAGTAATTATACGATCAGACACAAAACAATACATTATTATAAAAATATCTTCAATGCATCATTTCGTAGCTGAAATTGTGTGTTGACGGGAAATCTATTAAAATATAATCCATTAAGCTTCGATAGCCCATTCAAAACAATCACAATACAACAACATATACAAATTATAAAGTTTTTCATCAAACATACGTTGTTGTACGCGTAGGTTAACAAAATCATGTAACATAATACCTATGCATTGTTATTCGTAGTCACATTGTATTATACAGTCGACTAGACGCTGATTTGATTTTTCAAACCGAAACTTACGAGATAACACTGCAGCGATCGGCAATCCGAATAATATAATTATATACCAATCTTGTTAAACAATAATATGGTTTTTTTTATATTTTAACTCAATGTTTTTTGTCCTATAATACGCTAAACATTTGTAGATTCTAAGTTAACTGCCAATAAATTTATGATATTCTCATCATTTATTGGCAATTTACTAAGAATTTGTTCACGTTCTCGTCCTATTCGAACTTACATGTTAACAAAAAGTGATATTTGGAGTAAAAATAATTTAAAAAAGCTAAACAATGGCGTTGTCAATTTTTTTTTTTCAATTCTAGTGTTGTAATATATCAATACATATGTCTAAAAGATTATTATGGTTTTTATCGATGTAAAAATATCTACACATTCTCCACATTAATAACAAAGTATATTAGTTGTTGACATACAAACAAATATTTAACACGTTTAAAAAATATACAAAGAAGAGCATTTTAATACAAACGATGAAATACACATAAAACGATTTTCGTAAAAATATTGCTTTGAATAAAACGTATGCCTACCTTAAAAAGTATTAAAAATATCTGCATACTGTTATTTATCAAAATAAGGACACGGGTTTAAAATAGGAATGACAAAGAGAATATAATATTGCTTTGCTAATCGTTTAGGGTACCCGACTACAGTGTCAACGTGGTGTCGGATAGGCAAAATTATTTGGAGGGCAATTTTTTCTCTATCTCACAATAACAGCTGGATTTATATCTATTTTGTACTAGAGCAATACTGAAAGTTTAGCCGCTAGATACTCGGATAGTATACTACTTTGACCACAATGACAATTCTAAAAAATAAAAACGATAATAAGTCACGGGAATCTCGGAGCAATAATTTAAATTTTTCAATGGTTATACTGAACAATAAAATGATTTTATATGCTATTTGTATAAATATTAATGCAATTTCAACTATAAAACGCAATGTAAAAATAATTTTCTGTCATAAGAGATAGAAATTTAGATTTATTTTAAGAGTCAATCAAATATTATTATTTTAGTATTAAAAAATGCAAATATTTGTTTGAAGTTAAAAATGACGAAAATGCTGTTTAATTGGAGACGTAGTATTTTATGTTTCTTTTTGAACTTCATTGTTTATTGCTTAAAAAAAATTAAGATTTCGGCAAAATAGTAATCATTTTTTTTTTCATACTAATTCCACCGTTTTATTATTATATTTTTATATAATTTAAAAAATTAACTAATTACACAATATATGTATACATGTAAAAGGTCACATTGGATTTAGTATACAAATTATGTATAATACACATTATTATTTTAAACAAAGTTCGGTATTTGTCCGTACTCTTTAAACCGCCGTAAATACGGTCTTAATTAGTAGGATATTATTAATTATATACTAGCCGTATCATTTTTACTTCACTCTCAATTTTTTACTCGCTAATTTTACTAAAAAATATATAAAGCAATATTGGTTCTACCACTAGTGTAAAATTTATACACGGGAGACAGAAAATCTTTCTAGTACCTTTTTATTCTTTCTGTCTTACGCACAGTCGCGCTTTGCGTGTAGACGTAAGTGGTTCGGTGGTGGCATCGGTGCTCAATAAAATGTCAACCAGTTTATCTTGAATTATTACCTCTTAGCTTGTAGACGTCTGTGGGATTTACAGACGCCTTGCGAATGAACGCCTAAAAGAAAACGTTTCAATGTGAATCGATGCTCTTTCTTCTTGCACCAGTCCATCTCATAGTCTTCTCTCTCGCAACTCGTATATTTATACTAACAGAATTCTACCATAACTTAAAACCTTGTCGAAACCTTTATTTATTCCTTTTTTCAGTTCCAGACACGTTTTTTCAGCATAATACTTAACTTTTTTTATTTGATATTGCCACTGCATTATATACATTCGGTGTATATACTCTAACAGCTAAATTCATTATACCTATATGGTTATACTTATTTCTGTGATCAAATAAGGCCGGAAGTTTTGCCGTCGTTGGTAAACAAACTCTTAGTACATTATTTTAGGGGTTAGGACTGATATCAAAAGGTATGGTGGTTGATTAATTGCTGACTTACATGATTGATAATGTCGAAATTTAGAGGTAGTTACAACTATTGGTCGCTAGTTGGAAGTTTAATTAACACATTGCCTGTAATGCATGACACTGTTTCGCAGAAAGTACACATAATCTTAAAGACAATAGAAAGTTGTGCATTTCGAAAAGTTAACATACACTTACAACACATTAAACTATGTGTGACGTCTACTCGGTAAACATTAAGTGGTTCGATATGACTTTTTGTTGTTTGATGGTGATTTGTGATTACAGTTTAAAAACAACTAATACGTAACTTTGTTTTATTATAGTAAGACTTAATAAATAATAAATTCGAAAAATTCATTTTGTTAATATTTGTTTGAAAACGTTTAAACAATGTTTATTTATAATAAAAAAATTAATTTATAAAATTGTTTTAGGTTTTTGACTAGTATTCAAGATCTTCTTCAATGATCATTTTGTAAATTATAAATTTTGTCTTGGAATATAAAAGTTCTAGCGAAAATATTTAAATTAGAAAGAAAGGCTTTTTTTTTTAACCATGTTATAATGTTAAGTGATAAATAATTAAATATCTATACAATTTTAGCATGAATATTCTGGTAAATATTCAATGTTGATTTTAAAATATTTATCTTGAACATAATTTTGTATGTCATATTTCATAAATAAAGAAAAGTAAATTAAGTATTAATTATGATAATTTCATGATTAAATTAAAAATCAAATCACACATATATATATACAATGAACATAGTTATTCTAACTAGGAAAAGATAGCGTATGTTAAAGTTTCTACCGAAACCACCTTTTAAATCAAGAACTATTTATTTTTCTTCTGTATTAACTTATTCACGCCTATCTAATTTAAATGCTCAATAGATAAATCCAGACTGAATAGAAAAACACAATATTAATTCTTCAATTTAAGATCTTTAATATAAGCAGTAACGATATTTACAAAATTAATTCAGTATAAAAGATCATTACTTAAATTAACAAACATTTGTTTTTCAATTATACACATACTTTACGAAATATTACTCACGCAAATCATTTAGTTATATACAAGTATTAGTTGTTTTTAAATAAATACGGTTAAATTGAATATTTTACTCCAATAATTTATGAAAAGCTTATCATACTAATCTCCTGCGAATTCTTAATAAGAGTTTCAGTACTTTGTAAGCACTAATAACTGCACCTGTGGCTGCCATTGACGGAATGCCCCATCCTGTAGCGGCAGCTGCAATTGTCAACCCTGTTACGCCTATGGTGGTTTCCAATACATCACCAGTAATCAAAGCGTCTGAAATACATATACATTTTAATATTTTTTTAAAACAATTCACAATCTCGTAAAAAGAAATTTTTATTTTTATTAAGAAAAAGTAAGTAATTATAGCTGGTCTAACTACTAAAAGTTTAGCCTATATCTTATTACATATAATCATAAAATTAAAAATTTTTTTTTATACTTTTCAAAATTACCTAAATGCTATGCAGTATATGCTATGTAATTCTTAGGTAATTATTATTTATTAGAAAAATAAATCATAAAAAGAAGTTTATATTAATTTTTGATCATTTATTTTTTAAAAAAATTCTATCTTAAAAAGGATAATAATATTCTAATCATATAGAAAATAAAACGAAACCGTTTTTCTAAATCTACTAAAGGTATTATAGCTAACAAATCTTTGAAGAGTAGTCAATGATAACATTTTCGATATTTGTCATATAAAAGATAAATTTAAAATCTTAAAATTGAAATACTTTTTTAGAATTTCACCGACCAAAGTATTTTTTAACATAGCAGATGAATTTGTTATTAATCAAAAGATTTTTTACTCACATCCTAAATATTACCGCGTTAATAATGTCAAATTTAGTAATTTTTAGAGATAAAAAAAATAAAATGATGGGAACATAAAGAAATGTACTGAAGATAGTACTAAATTTGAAATGTATTGAAGATTCGTAAATAATTACTCATTACATTTAATTATTAATATTATTGTAATTAATATTTTTTGTATATAAAATATTTTAAAATATATAATTTAAATTATAATATAACATCTCACCGCTTTTGACATGTGATTTTTATATTGATTCAGTTAATTTTAACCCGGAAAATTTTTTCCGGGATTAAAAAAAAATTGTAATTTTTAATAATTTTAGTAAGTCTGTCCACCTATTATTTAATAGAAATTTAAGTTAATGATTAATAAAATTACAAAAAAGAAGACATTTTTGAATATTTTTTTTAAACTTAACTGTTGTGTGAATTATACATATTACTAAAAAAAAGTTAAATCAGTTTAAAATTTAAATTATACTTTATTTTGAATATTTATTTCCCAATAATGATTTCTTTAACATTTTATTTCTTTTCACATAAATCGATAAATAAACCTAATCGTACTATGTAAAAAGTACTACAGAATGTTTTATTGAAAGTTGCGAATGATTCTTTTTAGAATTGAATCGATCATCAAGATTTTTTAATTAAGAATAAACTTATTTAGTTATGAAGGCCGAAGAAAACTTACTGGTCTTCAATGGAATTGCAAGACATTTTCTAATATATTCGGAATAGTGAATTTGATAAACACAAAAGTACAATGTTTTAATTCGAGTATATTTTTATTATTAATTTGTAAAAGTTCACGCAAAGTAATCGAAAACATTTTCCTTAACAAAACATATGAGTATTGTATTGTTTTGCCAGACTAATAATTTTTGGTTAAAAAAAAATACAATTATATAATAATATATCTCATACAAATACATACTTGTTTTTGTATTATATATTATTTTATATTGCTTGCATTGTTATTTTACGTATCATATCATATTACATAATTCAAATTTAATTTATTAATTTCTTATACTCACATTTTAATGGTGCATTCATTTTCAATATGAAATCTAGTTGCAATATGTTTTAATCAAATTGTCTAAAAACTTTTGAACATATTTAAAACACATATAATGAGCGATTTTAAAATAAAATTATAACTTCTACTGCGTAGTAAAACAAATACATTCATTGGCAGTTGACATTATGTTGCGATATGTTAGTAAGTGGGTACTGAGGTAGCTGCCAACATTAAAACAGCTGATCGCGGATTGCAATGAGTCAAGGATTTTTTTGTAATGATTGTTTAGAATACTACTGATTACTACTCGTCGCATTTTATGAATTCCTAGAACCGCTGTAGTCCTAGTGGCAGATACCTGGGGATTGTGACCCTCATAATCCACCAAAATAGGTACATCATATTTTATGTACTAGTTGGAAAATTATATTAACGTATCATATAAATTTAAAAAAAAATCCAACAAAAAAAGACTTAATTCTATAAAATAAAAGAATGTACCTCAAATACTTAGGCCAATGAGAGAAGATGATCAGAAAAAATTAAACTATAAAATGACTTAATGACATTGAACTATGAATGTTACTATTTTAATGGTAACAATAATTTAAATGTACATAATTTAAAACATTAAATTATTAAAAAGTTCTCAACCATATTGTACTATAGGCTTTCAAAACAAGTTGTTATTGGTAGAAAATGCATAAAATTTTATTTTGTGACTTGACGTCATAATTTGTATTAGGAATTTCTAGAAAATTTTTATGTGAGTAATTTTATTTTTTGGTAATTTCAAAGTAAAAAAATTAAAAAACCGTAATTTTAGACTCTAAAAAAAATTCTAATACATCAATCATTAAAAGAAAACCATTTTGTAGTAAATACCGCTGATTTCATAAACCTCATATTTATCATACAAATTAGAATAACTTTCTAATCAAAATTATCATACACATGATAAGTGTTACTAACTACCGAAAAGAAAATTTATTATTGTTTTTAATAATAAAAAAATAAAACATTTTCAACATTTTAAAATAAACAAATTTCAAGAATTTACAACATATTCAAACAAAGTGGGTATATTATAACGTTGGTTGAGTAAACATTTTAACTTTGCAGTGGTGAAAATATGAATCAAAATTTTACTGATGCATTTAACAATTGCACTTAAACATTTTATTACATATGATAAATCATTGAACTANTATTTAACAAATGCACTTAAACATTTTATTACATATGATAAATCATTGAGCTACATATTAAAACACAAAATCACTCGCAATAAAAATTTTTAAATAAATAAAACAATTTTCAACAATAAACATTATAATTTAAAACTATAACGGTTCAGTGTAGTAAATAACTATTAAAAAATAGAACAAAAAACAAAGCCAACGACACGTAGTGTTCCCAAGCGGTCACCCATCCAAGTACTAACTACGCCCGACGTTGCTTAACTTCAGTGATCGGACGAGAACTGGTGTATTCAACGTGGTATGGTCGTTGGCGAAAGCATTTAAAGTTTTAACAAAATATGAATGTAGTGTAGTTTTTTCTATATAAATATGTTTTAATTGGCGATTGACTTCTGTAAGAATATTTATTACTATGATCTTATCACTTATATTATACACGTTGTATTTTCATTTCATATAATTTGTAAAATTAATTAGAATTAAAAAAAAGATATATATATATATATCATACTTTATTAGTTAACATTGTTTATAAATCATACTGTTTATAAAAACAATATTCTATTTACAAGTGACTAATTTAATAACATTTCTTAAAATTTTTAAGATATTTATTACATTTAATAAGAGATAGATCACTAGAAGAAAAATGAATTTTTACATAATAAAACAATTATGTCCACAAAATAAATTAATAATAAAATACTTATATAATTTTGATCAGTTAACATTTTTTTAAAACTTTTTTCCTTTGCCAACGACCATACCACGTTGAATACACCAGTTCTCGTCCGATCACTGAAGTTAAGCAACGTCGAGCGTAGTTAGTACTTGGATGGGTGACCGCTTGGGAACACTACGTGTCGTTGGCTTTTTTTATTTTAAACAGAATAATGCATAAAATATTATTTTAATATTCTTTTAATTAAACTTACGATATTCTCACAAAAATAATTTTAGGTCAGGCCGACCCCTTTCAGGCAAAAAATTTAATTGTCTCAAATATTAATTTATAAAACATTGATTACATTATATTAATCTTATATAAATATACTACTGAAATACATAAAACATTAGTTAATACATTTAGCGGTGATTTAAGTACTTAAAGTTACACCCAGTTGTTGATGAGAAATCGATAATTTATAGTTAATAAAGTTATATCAATATATTAATTTGTTTAATGATATCTAAAATAAATTTTTTAACATGTTAACTTTTTTATTTTTAAAACAACCTAAATAATTTTACCAACTTAATTAACAAATATTAATGTTTTTTAGAAGTTATAACATTATATCATAAAATATATCCATATATTTTATAAATAAATAAAATATCACAATCATCATGATCTTATAATTAATTTAAAAATTTTTATTTTTGTCAACATTCGCCACTCTACGGTTTCCCTCGTTATTTATGAGCTACTGGTCTTTAAAATTCTATTGGTCCTGTATTTTTTTTTATTCGCTTACCTAAAGAAAGTCTCCAAGTTACGGTTTAACTACATTTATATTTTGTTAAAACTTTAAAAGCTTTCGCCAACGACCATACCACGTTGAATACACCAGTTCTCGTCCGATCACTGAAGTTAAGCAACGTCGGGCGTAGTTAGTACTTGGATGGGTGACCGCTTGGGAACACTACGTGTCGTTGGCTTTTTTTATTTTAAACAGAATAATGCATAAAATATTATTTTAATATTCTTTTAATTAAACTTACGATATTCTCACAAAAATAATTTTAGGTCAGGCCGACCCCTTTCAGGCAAAAAATTTAATTGTCTCAAATATTAATTTATAAAACATTGATTACATTATATTAATCTTATATAAATATACTACTGAAATACATAAAACATTAGTTAATACATTTAGCGGTGATTTAAGTACTTAAAGTTACACCCAGTTGTTGATGAGAAATCGATAATTTATAGTTAATAAAGTTATATCAATATATTAATTTGTTTAATGATATCTAAAATAAATTTTTTAACATGTTAACTTTTTTATTTTTAAAACAACCTAAATAATTTTACCAACTTAATTAACAAATATTAATGTTTTTTAGAAGTTATAACATTATATCATAAAATATATCCATATATTTTATAAATAAATAAAATATCACAATCATCATGATCTTATAATTAATTTAAAAATTTTTATTTTTGTCAACATTCGCCACTCTACGGTTTCCCTCGTTATTTATGAGCTACTGGTCTTTAAAATTCTATTGGTCCTGTATTTTTTTTTATTCGCTTACCTAAAGAAAGTCTCCAAGTTACGGTTTAACTACATTTATATTTTGTTAAAACTTTAAAAGCTTTCGCCAACGACCATACCACGTTGAATACACCAGTTCTCGTCCGATCACTGAAGTTAAGCAACGTCGGGCGTAGTTAGTACTTGGATGGGTGACCGCTTGGGAACACTACGTGTCGTTGGCTTTTATTATTTTTAACAGAATAATGCATAAAATATTATTTTAATATTTTTAAAATTAAACTTAAGGTATTCTCACAGGAACACTACTTGTAGTTGGCTTTGTTTTTTGTTCTAACTTTTCTTTAATAATTATTTATGACACTGAATTGTTATAATACTAAGCTGAAAAAATTTAATTAGATAATAATTATTTTAATGTAATATATTATTTTTAATAAAACTTTTATTTTTTCAAAATAAAGTGTCTTTCTTACAAATAAAAAAATTAACGAAATTTGTGAAGTATTATCATATTTTGTAATCGAAGGCATAAATTAAATACAGGAAGTCGGGATGGTGGCCAAGAGGTGCCAGTAAACTCTTTGGATATTTTTTATCAGTAACAAAACAAAATATTGTAAAACATGCAATCCTACCAAATATTTTAATTTTAATTTAGTTTTGTCAATGGAAAATAGATTCTGTGGCAACTGTTACTAGAAAAATTCTAAAAACTAGAAGCATTATTTTAAATAACTTATTTTGGGGAATTAAAGTGTATTATCTATTTATTTTTAGACCTATTCAAAATAATTAATAATGTAAACAATACAGTAATTAATTTTCTTATATGTTATATGTTATGTAATAGATATATTTATTAATATTATGGTATAATGTGGTGTAGAAGGTGCATATATAGAATATCTTTTTCAGGATGATGGTTAAAAAGTATTTTTAAATTCGCATAGAAATGTATGATTCATTTTTTTTATGACCTGATTTTTTTTTTTGCTTATAATTCTTAATCCATTTTCAGTAAAAAAATTAGGTTGTCTTAAGAATTTAGGGGTGGGGCAAACCTTTCTAGCTATTGGGTTTGGGAATTACCTTCAATACATTAACTGTTGTTAATAATTATTGCACCCCTGTGAAGTATTTTTATAGGAGTCTTTAATTAATTATGTGCATTTAATAAATACTGGAAGTGAATAAAATTTATCATGATAAATTTACTAGGAGTCATTGTTGTATAGGATAATTCTTTTAATATTAGTCATTCGTTTTCTTTTAAAATAATAATTATATTAAGAATATTCTATATAGTAATTATTAATTTCATTATTATAATAAAACAAAGAAAAAAGCGTTATTCTGGGAAAATTAATTTGGGTACTTAGATTTTTGAACATTTTTTTTCCAACGAAAGTACTTTGTCATGGTACTCTGGAATAATTATTGGCGAAGGTCGGAAAATGTTTGTCCACAAGCAAGGTTTTAATAAGAGTATTGACTCATTTCTGCGCATATGTATATCGTGTTCTTTAAATTGTGGAAATTGAATTTTCATGCCGATGTTAATTTTTTTATTGAATTAATTGTTTGTCCGCCGATCGGATATGGCGCCACTTGCGTACCACCGGTTCACGCGATCGAGTTTTTTTGCTCGTTGAGTGTGTACGGCGAGTCTGGTTTTGGCGCTTATGCTATTAAGAACGATCCTATGACGGACAGTGGAGCGCCTCAACTTGAGAGCCCACAGCTAAGTTCCGTGATCGCCAATTCAATAGCAAAAAGAAATTTTGGATGCCCATCCGCGGGTTCATGTTGTGGAGAACGTGTCTGGTCCTAGTATACGAATAAACGAAGTAACCAGGTTGCATATAAGGAATTTAAATATATAATTGTGTAGTAATGGTAGATTAATTTATGTAATATTGTGTTTAGTAATAATAAAATTTACATTTGTTCTGTCAAAGAGTATTGTCATTAAATTTTAGTTAGTCAAGTCGTGTCCATAACAGGCGAAGATACTGAGTGTCCCCACCTAGAAGTGTTTTCGAGTCGGTGGCATAACATTAATTTTTAATATATCGCACCCCTAGATCTAAACTGTTGTAACTCAAAAATGCGATTTTTGAGATAATGTTCATTTTAGGATTTCTGATTC